CAATTCAATCCTTGAGTCCAATTAATTGTGTAATGAATGTCTTTCTCAAATTTTAACATGTGGAATTTAATCCCAAAATTATAAATTTAATTCGATTTTGTGCTTCTTTCTTTCCAATTGCTTCAAACGAGTCCATCACTTAAAACAAAATAAAATCAACCCAAATTAAGTAGAAATCAATAATTTGACGCCATAAAAGTTTAGTAATATAGTCCGAATAAGTGCACAAAATGCACTTATCAAACACTCACAAACTAAAAATTTTGTTCGTCCTCGAACAAAATAAAACAAGGCTTAGATATAAAACATATTACTAGCTTAAACAAACAACAAATAAAAATATTCAACGTTGACTTGCTTACCATATGCTTCAGGTTCAAATTTAAGCAATACTTTAGAAAGATCCAAACAACATCAAAAATAATTTTTAATTAAACGATGCTCGATTTTGTGTGTGTGATTAGCCAACATTGAACTAACTCACATAAGAGAACACGACCAATTAAGTGTTGTTGATTTATTTATAATCTCAATCCTCTTGTGGTTAGTTTTTTCTCAAGCTACTCGTGCAAAAATCACTCATTATGCTTTTCTATCCAATCCCAAGGTATTTCTAGCACACATAGAGTTCCTAAAAATTATTATAATGCATTTTTCCACACAAGTGGTCAGAATTAGATACTTGTAAACTTATAAAAAAGATGGTAAGTCTCTCTAAAAATCACACTGTCAATCTCTAGAGTTCAAATTTCAAAGTTCTTACCGGGCACATCTCACTTTTGACAATTTATCTCTCTCTCTCTTTGACATCTTTTATACAAGATTTCTCTCCATTAAACTTTCTAAATAACACTTGTAGCGAGTTTTAGGTCGATGACTCCCAAGTCAGATGACTCTATGGCACCAGGTTTTTAGATACTCTTACAGACTTAACAACTCGAGTTAAAAAGGCTACGAAAAGAGATAGAAAATGTATCATTTTTTCTTTCGATATGAGAATCAAACTTTTCATTCTTTTTTTTAAACACCTTATGTGCAAAACTTCTTTCCATTAAACTTTCTAGATGGCCCCTGCAGCAAGCTTTAAGCCGATGACTCCTAAATTAGACAACTATAGGGCACCCAAATTTAAAGATCCTAATAGACTTAATCACTTGAGTCATAAAAGCTACGAAAAGAAGTAAAGGATGTATGATATTTGAATTTTTTTTACAGTGATCAGTACCTATTTTAGACTCCTCAACTCTAACCTTTTCAAATAACGCTGGGATTCGAAAACTCCAAACCATCACACTTCTATGAAAACAAGTACTAATCTTCCTACCCCTAAAATAATTTTTAGCAGTTTGGTTTCTATATAAAGGATTTGGAGATTTTATTCAAATATAGGTCAACAACATCAACAAGTCCAAAAAAATAAATTGTATGCCAACATAAGTGATAAGTCAATATGGTCATGTGCTCAAATAATGAAATCTAACATGGATAAGTTTTCAAATAAAAGCACAAGTTATGATGTTGTCCAACATCTAACAAAATATATACTCAATTCAAACAAATAAACATCTTCATTTATGATAAGTTGTCAATGCTAACTGGACACTATTTTTTTCAATTTATTTTTTATTTTTTGCAGTTATACAGACCTGCTCAACATTTTTAAAGAAAATAAATATGTATTCCAAGTATCCTAAAACTCGCCTATCTCCAAACAAAATACTACATTGTCCCCAATGTAGAAGCACAAATAATCAAAGTAAAGGGTTAAGGTTCAAAAACTCCACGAGGTAAATGTCGATGAGTTGAAAGATCAGATTTGTCTGTTTGGTGGACATCGTGACAACATCCACTTTTTCTTATTGCTATGCTTTAAGTTGCTGTTTCAAGAATTCAAAATAAATATTAGCGATAGCATATGAGGTTTAAATATTTACAATAAATACATACCAAAAAAGATTGAAATCTAGGTGCATATTACATCATTGTAAGTTCAATAAAATGCTAGGATGCTAACGACATAAATATGCCCAAGTTACTAATGAACCAATAAGTAAATATGCCTAAGTTACTAATGCAAATCTTAAAATACTGCCTAAAATGTATTAAAATCGATTTAAATGCATGAGTTCCTAAATTAATGCAATCCCTAAAATTACTTGTAATGTAATAATTAAACAAAATAAGTGAAAAGAGATAGAAAGATGGGATGCCTCCCATTAAATGCTTAATTTAAAGTCTAGAGCTCGACTTTTGCATACGCGTTTCATGGCACTTTGAATATGACTTTGGATGTCATGCTTAACTTGCTCAATTTGACTTTGTTCTATATTGCAGCTTTCTTCCAAATTTTAACCTTGTCCTTCTTCAAGTAGTATGACTTTTCGCCATCTCTTGTTTCAAACTCAACAATGTACACCTCAATCTCTTCATAAGGTTTAATCACAAACTCAATTTTTGAGCAAACGATAGAGTCGAGGGATTGCTTGCTAATCTCCTTTTCTTTGAATGCTACCAAATCTTTTTGGTCCATTATGGTTAAATTTTCGGTCTTTTCATGACCCCATTCTTTAGTTGAACTTTTATCGAGTTCAACGTTCGTATTCAAAACATTTGGCAAAGAAACAATATCATCTTCATCGAAAGTCTTCTTCTCATGTGGTAATTGTTGGACATCCAATCGATGTGATTCCCTTAATTGATGTCTATTAATAATCGATAGAAGAAATAATTTCACAAGTAAATCACCCACTTCAAATTTTAGTGAGAGAAATAATGTAGCAGGCAATTCACCGAAGACAATTTTATCAAGTTCACACTTCCACTTTTATATCTCGTAGTCGTTGTCCTATAATGAAATCTCCTACAAGCATATCCCCCTCATCAATTTCTTGAGTTGCCAATTGTTATTGTCTTATGGTGAAATCACGTACGAGCATTTCATTGAAATCAACCACAACCATATTTTATCCTGCTATTTTTTGTCTTTTTATATCCCAAAAAGAGAAAAAACAAAAACAATCTGAAATGAAATGAAAAAAAAAAAAAAGAATACAAGTAGAAGTTCGAATTAGTGCTAAAATAAATCGAACTCAAACAAAAGTAAAGTTCTCCTGTAATAGCGCTAAAAACTTATTCACAAAAATATTTTTCGATTTAAAAATCCGCAAATGTATGGTTCGTTAATAAGTAATAAATTGAATTTTAGAGTTCAAGAATCGTTCCATAGAGATTGTACCAGCTTAAATTCAAATTATCTTCACCTTAATCGAAACAAGAGAAATTGATGATTTTCTCTAATGTTAAATTGTAACCACTTAAATTATGGATTAATGTAGGACCTAAATTAATTAAAATTAATGCAAGTTTTATAAAAATATGATAATAAAAAGTGTACTAAGATTCATAATCCCTTTATATCAATCACCTTTAACTCGAAATTTATAAATTTGAAAACACAATTAATTATGAAGATTAATATTCCTAATTTGTTTAATTATCTCCTTCGAGTAGAATTAAACATATTTTTTGCATGTAACCCAACTATATTTCTATGATGAATGCCAATTCCTTCCTTCCTAGGAGTCCAAGTGATTTTTAATTTCAATCCAACATAGCCACTAAATGGGTTTATTCCAATCACAAAGCCCACTTAAATACCAATTTCCTTTGAAGACCCCACTTCATTTAAAAATAGTGCAATTCAATCCTTGAGTCCAATTAATTGTACAACCAATGTCTTTCTCAAATTCTAACTTGTGAAATTTAATTCCAAAATTATAGATTTCGTTCGATTTTGTTATTCCTTCTTCCCAAATGCTTCAAACGAGTACACCATTAAAAACAGAAGAAAATTAATCCAAATTAAATAGAAAGTGATAATTTGAGGACATAAAAGTTTAGTAATATAGTTTGAATAAGTGCACAAAATGCACTTATCACGCACAAAGGTGCTCTGAGGGACACAGCAGGCGCACAGCCGGTATGGAGGCTCACAGACCTTCTATCATCCATTGTATCAGAGCCCTTTCATGACCAGACTGAAGAATCATAGTCGGAACTACTTACTTGGCAGTCTATGTGTAACGTAGAGCGTAGAGAGTGAAGGGAGAGGAAAAGCACCTCCCCAATGGTGGTGGAAGGTAAGGAGAAAGGAAGAGTGGCAGGATGTGGTGGAAGGTAAAGAGAAGGAATAATGATGAAATATAGAGAGAATGAGAGGAATAGAGGATATATTGGGAAATAATTAGGGTTTAGAAGGGTAAAAAGTAGTGGGGTAAATATAGGGGTGTCAATTAGGCTCGCTGGCTCGGGCTGCCCATGACTCGGCTCGAGGTTTGATGGAACTGAGTCAAGATTTGGGTCGAGCCCCATTTTAAAGTTTCAGGCTTAGTTAGAGTCGGACTGTGTGGCTCGCCGACTCGGGCTCGGGCTCGGGCTCAGGCTCGGGCCTTATTAATAAAAAATGAAAAAAAGAAAAGAAAAAAAGGCAGCTTGCTGCCTTATTTTTAAGGTAGCAAGCTTAAGGCTCCTGCCTTAAGAGAAGGGTGTCAATATAATAATAAATAAATAAATGGAGAGATGGAGAGAGAGAAAAAAAATTGAGCCGGCTCAAGTTGAGCCTTATCTTTTTGATCGAGCTTTTGCTCAACTCAGTTCGAAAAAAGCCCGTTTGATTTTACTCTAGCCGAGTTCGAGCCTTGAGTTTCGGCTCGTGAGCCAGCTAAGCTCGACTCGTTGACATCTCTAGGTAAATATGTAAAAAGATTTTTATATTATTATTATTATTGAAAATTTTAATTATATCTGATTTTTGAAAAAACCTTGTAACTCTTAATTATGAATTCAGAATTTGAAAACACGTCGTCCAATTTTAGGCGTGCGTAATTTTCCCATTTTTGGGATTTGGCAATAAAAGTTTATTGGGCCGAGTGCTACTAGCCCATTCAATGTGGGCCATTATTGAGGTAGGCCGTAGAGGCAGATGACTAACCCACATAGTATTCTAACATTGGGCCTGGCTTTTAGGGTTTCTGCATTTATTCTTAGACCGCCACACAGAGAGAGAGAGAGCGCGCGCGCTTTATACTGTTCTTCAAATCTTGGAACCAATTGCCCTCAGTCGTGTCAACAAAGAACAAATCTACTAAAATGGAGCAAACTTTCATCATGATTAAGCCTGATGGTGTTCATAGAGGCCTGGTTAGTTTTAATCTTTTTCATTTTATTTCAGTTCTGCTTTTCGCTTAACTTTTGTGGTTTGTTCTATTTGGATTATTAATTTGCTTTGTTCGTGGAAATGTCGAATTTTTTGAAGTTAGTATCCGGGTTTTGTTTGTTTCAATTAACTATCCATGTAGCATACGGTTTTTCTGTTTATTTTTGGATGGAATCGAGAAAATTAAGGTCATAATCGAATTCTTTGTTTGGGAAAGTGAAAAAAGTACAAGATATGGGTTTTAATTTTCCTGGCTGATGAATGCAGAAATACAGTAACTGGAGAAGGTTTAGAGGATTTTAGGCTAATTTTGCCTTCTAGCATGTTTGGATTTTTTATTACATTGAAGCTAAAGTATAAGTTACTTGTTTTGGAGTCAACTACGAAATAATTAGCTTACTTATTTCTAACTTCTATTGATAAATATTTGCTTATTTACTGATGAGTAAACCTTTTAAGCTTAGCCAGACATTCTCTTAATGTATTTATAGAAATAATAATTTCTGCCTTTGTATCTCATTCATGTTATTGTTCTGTTTCAGGTTGGTGAAATCATTGGCAGGTTTGAGAAGAAAGGCTTCACTTTGAAAGGTTCCTTTGTTACCTACTTTCAAATTGTGGATTCTCTTCTCTAGAATTTTTTTAAAATAGCCCTCTAATTTTTATTCATGTTGAAGGCCTTTTTATACCTTATTAGAAATAACCTTCATTTCTAGTGCCTTCTGATGATTAGTCTTTAGGCATTTTTATGTAGTGACAATTAGCTTTTGACGATCTTATATTGTCGAGTCCAAGCTCTGGGTTGAGAAAAGAAAGATGTCATCTCAATTATGTTATCTCAATTATCTCGTGGTTGTATGATTCCTGGTCACTTGAAAGCATATGGGGAAATTAAGAATGACAAAATTAGATTGAGATTCACAACTCTACTTTCTCTACAAAGTAGTAGAATAAGAAGATTTTGATTCTGAGAGAAAAAATAATGATGGCTAGTGTACAACAGTCTATGCCCAAAATCAATTGGAATATCTACTATACTATATGGAGTTCTGAGTTAATCATTTCTATGACTCTTCACCTTTAACTCCCATCAGATATGAGTTATATAACCAAATGAATGTCTTTTCCTTTCGATTTTCATTTTTTTCCCTACTGTGAACCTCCTTGCTTTATGGCTACAGGTTTAAAGCTCATCACTGTGGATCGCCATTTTGCTGAGCAGCATTATGCTGACTTGTCTGCAAAGCCTTTCTTTAATGGGCTTGTTGAGTATATCATCTCTGGCCCAGTTACGGCTATGGTTTGGGAGGGTAAGAATGTGGTGACTACTGGCAGGAAGATTATTGGAGCCACCAACCCAGCTGACTCTGCTCCTGGAACTATCCGTGGTGATTATGCCATTGACATTGGCAGGTGAATTTTGGTTTCTCATGTCGATTCATTATGTGGAACCTAATATTACATCAGTTAATAAGGCCAAAGCATAATTGCCATACTTATACTCATAGATGTATTGCTTAACTACAATTGGAAAGAAAACTGTTTGGTTTAACCAGGCTCTTGATTTGTTCAATCTATCCATGAAAAGGTCTTGTATCTCGATGGCAAATGTGTTATACGTGAAATTTCAAACTTTATACTGCTAGGTTTGATAAGCTGTAAACTTTACTCGTGGCTCTGATTTTTTTCGCTTTCAAGATTATTTAGAAAGCTGGAAAATGTCGTGTTTTCGAATGGATTGTAATTGCACTATAATCTTTTTGTAGTACAAGGTTAATTATGAAGATATAATGTATATTTTTTCCACTTCAGGAATGTCATCCACGGAAGTGATTCAGTCGAGAGTGCAAAGAAAGAGATTGCTCTTTGGTTCCCAGAAGGAATTGCAGAATGGAGGAGCAGTGTTCATCAATGGATCTACGAGTGAAATTTCTTCCTTCAGTTGGATCCATGATTATATGTGCGGGTAGTTTTCTATGGCTATTTCTAGCATCAAATTACAAATTTTGACTTCAAATTGAGTTACTTGAACTTTGTTCTATGAAGTCCTTTGCCATTATGAAACAGTTTTGAGCGTTTTTGTTTGAATATGATGATTTGCTATTGTGTTTCAGGTTTTTGCAGTGCATGATTGTGAATGTCATCGTATTTCTTATACTCAATTTGTTTAGTATATATTGATGAGAGTAGAGACTATGATAGAATATTTATATCAAAAGGATTTATCATATGGATGGAAGAGGGGAAAACAAAAAAACTTTAATTACACATTTTTTGAAAAGGAGATTACGCCTCTTCACTTCTCTGTAGAAATTGATCACATCATAATATTCGAGATCTCTGTCCTGTTTACACGAACAAAAAGTATGGTTGAAAACGTCAAGAAAAAACACCTGACGGGAAGCAAATGAAAGAAACTTTATTTTAGAAGATGTATTAGCTACATAAACTACCGACTAAGAAGCCTATAAGAGGCAAGTCTTCGAGGCTCGTAGTGTGTTCTTGGAGGAGCTTTTGTTCTAGTTGATAGTGGGTAGCTTTCATTACAGCCTGAGTGGAATAAGAGAAGCAAATAATGTTATTTGCTAAAGTATCTGTTTGGGGAATGTTAAGAAGCTCTCTCCAGAAACGATGAGACTTGAGATTCAACATTACCTTCGAAAATGTCGCTCCAACCATTGATAGAGGCTTCACTGCAAAAGATGTAGAGATTAGCTATGACCGAACATCAAACACTCAAATCTCGTCTTGCTTAGATGATATCCTCCAAGTCATTTCTCAAAAAAAATTTGAACGAAAACAGTGAGTGAAATTCATGGAGTTAGGCTGCATTCTCGCAATTCTTCATTCACATTACCAAGAATCAAATTCAGATTCATGCAGAATAGGTCCCTGGGACCGACCATTTTTGGAACAAGCAAGAATCAAAAAGTCTTGCAGGCTATTGTGTCAACTCAAGGGTTTACCGTGCACCCAAAGGGTAGTTTAGCACTTCAAATCAAAGACCTGTTCAAGAATATGTCCAAACAAAAGTTCTGAAGGCAACAGATTCAAGTACATTTGATGCTACCCCGAAATAAACGTAACACATTGAGGAAACTTATTTTGAGATTCACTAGATAACAATTTGTTGTCCAAAATATTACAGATAATGCATTAACCTGATTCAAGATCAAGAATCTGAATAAGCATTAACGTTTTTTACCGTAAAATTACAATCAACAAATACGTTTCACATAACCAGGATTTTTCCCTCCTAATCTCACAATGCGAGATACTCAACAAGGAGCAAAAGAAGAAATGACAATTCGCTATGGAGTTATTTAAATTTTCATGCCCTCCTCTTTGGCAGCAGTATTTATATATTTTTTTCAAGGCTATGGGGATAATTGGGTTATCATAGAGTATAACAAGTGACGATCATTTAATGGAGGACTTGTAAATAATTGTTTAATATATTCACTTTTTTTTTTTCAACTTATATTTCTTGCATTCATTGGTTTAAAAGTCATGCATTACATAGTTACCCACACGTGCTTTAGTAACATTTTTTGCCGCTGTGAAGGGATGGTTCGCCCCTTTTCCTCTGTGAGCTTTTGGTCCAGTCCAGAGAAAGAGTAATGAAAATTTTGCTCTCTACAACACCGATGGTGCCCTCAGCAAGCAAATTAACACTCCATGAAATTTGAAAATCGATGCAATCAGTTTTCTTCTTTCCCTGGCTTTCTACTCTGGTCTTCCAAATCCTCCAGCAATTTTCGTTACTTATAATGGAAAGAAAACAAATCAAGAAATAACATTTTCCTTCATTTCCACGAGTAAAATTAATGTTGGCTAGAGGAACCAAGTTTAGGAGAGATGGGAAACTACAGAACAAAAAAAGCTAAAGTACAACTTGAGATCAATTTCCAACTATGTGAACAAAAGCAAACTGCAGCACAGCCATTCAGGTGGGCATATTTCAGGATTGTTTGAGGCCCATTTTTAAGGAGAATAGAACTTGTATTAATGATTTTTGGAGAATATACAATTAAAAATTACGTGTACTTTATTTTATTGAAAAATTGTGATTAAAAAAATGTCTTTAAAAAGTGAGAGCTTCATTTCAAATCCAACTACTTGTTCGACAGAAGATATAGAAGAGGTCACATCAACCTTGTGAAAAGAAAGATTTTGTAACTATTTAGTACACGTATGTGACAACTAGCCAAGTAAACCTTCTAAACATTCAGAACCGTATAATATACAAGAAAATTGCAATCGAGTTATCAAATCTTTCGTTTATTAGCAGACATGATCCATTCCTTTCATTCGTGCCACCCATGATATCAAATCTTTCAAAAATTCGCAGTTGAAGTCCAAATGGATGAAAACTGTTAATTTGACTGTTGGTTGACCAAGAAATTAACATTAACCATAATTTTGATTAATTTTAAAAGAAAAAAATGGCAACTTTACATTTTTCAACAAAAAAACACTATTCATCTTATTCTTCACTCACCCCTACTCCCATCCTCACCCAGCCCAAAATCAAAACCCACCAAAATTTCTAGGAAAGAAAGATTGAATGAGTTGCTAATCATACGAAATGACTCACGTGGGGGTCCTGATGTTTGGACACATGGAAAGCATGCAAAAGGGGTCAACATCTGAGGCTGTCATGTTGAACGCCGATGTTGTCTCACTGAGAATAGCCGAAGTAGCCCTATCTTTCTTTCCGAAGTGGTTTACCTTTTGCTGCGATCTCCCGAAGTATCCAAAGTCCTTTACAACCAGAAAAGGGACGGGCAAGTACTCTTCAGAATTGACTACTGAGGTGAGCTGATATGACGTGCGCAATTAATAAGTATCAAGGATGTCAGCTTAGGTTTGTAGAGTGACTGACCTCTTGTCAAAATTCTATCAATATAATTAATGTGGATTAAAGTTGATGTGATACAAAGGGTCGACAGATCAGCCAATATGAATTTAATCCAACGGTAACCACGTCAGCCCGATCAATATAAATAGACAATTCTTGTATCATTTAAAGGGATCTTGAAAAATATATACAAGAGAACATAATACACTTTCATTGCCTACTATTAATCTTCTTCTACAAACATACTATTTATATTTTACGTCCGATAAAATACGCCCACGTGTACATCGTCCTTTAACGACACCTGTTGGCCATTTTCAAAGGCCAACAAAATATATTGTTTTTTACTGTACCCCAAGAGTAGTATTAAGTATTCATGGTGATTTTTGTTGTTATTTTTCATCTTTTTTGAGTAAGAAATTATGCTCTAAATAGTTTATAGAGTTGGGGTTGTTGATTTTTTTATTTTATTATTATTATTATTTTTTTTTTTTTTTTGCGAAAACTCTTGTATTAGAATTTTTCTAATTTTACTTGAGGAAACTAGTTTTATAAGTCGTGGAAAGATGGGGGATACATTCTGGTTAAATGAAGAGGAGAAGGCTATGGTGGAGAGTGTATTAGGCAATGAATGTGTTGAGTATATCGTTTGGTCCGCTTCAAATAAGGTGTTGTCGAAGTTCACAATATCAGGTAGAGATTTAAGAGTGCCTTAGGGGCTTTGCCGGATTCTTGATATGTCGGATTGTACTTATGCGATTTATTGGCAATTCAATTGGTGGGTGTCGATTTTGGTGGGTTTTGGTTTTGGGTTGGGTGGGTGTGAGGGGGGTGAGTAGAGAAGAAGATGAATAGTGTTTTGATTTGATTATTAATATATTCTAATTATGTCTTTTGTTGAAAATGTAAAGTTATCATTTTATTATTTTAAAATTAGTCAAAATTATGGTTAGTGTTAACTTTTCGGTCAACTAACCCTCAACGTAACAGTTTACATCTATTTGGACTTCAATTACGAATTTTTGAAAGGTTCGCTATTGTAGGTGGTACAAATGAAATATTTGGGTCAAGTCTGCTAAAAAAAAAGGTTTGATACCTCGATTACAATTTTTTGTATAATATACACATGAAGAAATAAAGGCTAGTCACTTGTCCTCCGTGTACATTATCAGTAAAGCCATGTTGGCACATCGAATTAGACTATATAAGAATTTAGTGCAAGTTATAATAGATATTATTAGATAGATGATATTAGAACCTTCATTCCCTTGGGTTAGGATCAAGGTTGGGGTGGTCCTTTTTCTTCGTCGATTGAAAATGAAGTTTCATCTCTTACAAATTAGTTGCTTCCTGTGGAAATATAGTGGAATGAGGTGGATAATATCAATTGAAATTATATTCAAAATAATGTCATTTATTGTATCTTCTTTGTCCTATCTAATCCCACCTCCAACCTTCATATTATGTGATACGGCTAACATTGCAAATGACTATCTTTTGAATGCAAAATTTAAAAAAACATAATCCATCTTAATCATCGTAATTCTATCTACCTATTAATATCGATTATAATTCTATATTAAATTCCTTATACGTTTTAACGTGGTGTGCCAAGGTTCACGAGCTAGCACCAAAACAAACATTGACCCCCCCCCCCAACACACACACACACACACACACACAGAGTGTGTATGTGCGCGCGCGCGCAAAAGCGTATTAATTTGATAAGGAACAAGAAAGAAAGTGGATTAAAAGAGAGAAGATTTGAGGACAAATGAAATCAATTTTATTCATATGATCAAGGGCACATATTACGATGACTAATCCCTCTATTTATAGATCAAATAGTTTAAAAAGTTAAAAACAAACAAACTTCTAATGAACATAAACATCTTTGCAATATTAGAACTAATCAAAATAAATTTTAAATCAAATTTTTCTTTGAAATTCAATTCTAATTCTAACTCCATCATTTCTCCCTGGTTGAAAGAAGTCGACTCCGATGAGATAAATTGAAACTCCATACTCCAAGGAGATTGATATTTCGCCTTGATCAAATGCCTGTATTGAACTCTTGAAATATCATAGGGTGTGCACTTATCTTATCACAAAGACTTGAGGTGGCTCTGAGAGTTTAACACCAAGATCTCGTAAAATGATCATAACAATATAAGTTTAGCTGCAGTTGAGGCTATGGAGTGATATTTAAATTTAAAACTTGATCTTGCGACATTATTTTGCTTCTTTGAGCACCAATAAACA